TAACCTCTAAATATAAAGTGGGTGGGAAAAAAAAAGCAATTCACCTTTAACACGATTGAGTGCAGTTCTTAGCCAGGCTTTGTGATTTAATCTTTTATCAACCCTTTTCATCAGTCACCTCTGTTTGAACAGGACGTCAGAGCCTTTCTTTAAAAAGCATTTTAAAGTATTATACAAAGTATGTGTTATACAAATAACCGTCCCTCTCCGCTCCGCTTTGTCCTCTGCTGTCAATATGAACGATTCACGCCGCACGGAAAAATAAAAGACAGAAAAGGCAGGAAAAAAATATATACATTGATTTTATGTGAGACAAAAAACTGATAGGTATTATATCTCCCCTCTGATAGTGATTTTTTTTATCTTGAACTTTGCATATTCAGCAGACAGAGTAGAGATCCGATACCAGCACATTAAAAAAAAAACAACGTATAAACCTTATAAATTTTAATGGCCTGACTCAGCTTAAACCCTTTTAAAATAATGACAAAGAGCTTAGTCTGTTGTCTGGTGTTATTGGCATAAGCAAAAAAAAAAAAAAGGGAAATAAAAGACACACATTGCCCACATCAGCAACACGACAATGTCATTCCTGGAAATGTTTTGTTTTGATTTGACAAAATGTTAAAAAAAAAAAAAAAAAAAAATTTACACACTGTACTATTCCATCGACATTAATGCCTCAGTTTGATTAATGATTTGCAAAATTATGGTAAGAAATAATTTAGGCATTTGTTTGCACCTCTCTATTGCTGAAGTACACCCTACAGCCCAGTAGGAGGTGGTAGTGTACCTAAAGTTTGTGTGACAGCTGCAAAAGTGGCATTGCCAGTAGTCAAGTTAAAAAATGTACAGAAAAATAAATGATGTTAAAATGTTTGTTGTTGAAGACTAGTCAAGGATTCAGATGTCAACAAATCTGAATTTCAATTGAAAAGAAAATGTTTTAATTGTTTAAAAAGCCTCTAATTAATGATTTTATTTTTTTTATAATCGTGTTCCACCAGTAATATTTTTGTAAAATTAATCAAGGGACTTCCTTTCTTTAAGTGTGTCTTAGGAGACACACTGGTGTTTGGTAAAAAAAGTTGTTTTTTTATCTGCTCCCATAACCTAACCCTGACTTTTATTCGATGTAATGCAGCTCTGTCAGCATGTCATGTTTTTCCGGCTCTCTGGAATCCAGCTGACATCCTTGTTACTCACATAAAAATTCAGGGAATCTCGCGGCCTACTTCTGGAGCCCCGAACCCTCGTGTGCGTGCAGATGAAGAGCAGAACGTTCAGCAACAGAATGTTGTCGAGAGCGTTCGTTTCATCTCAGGCGTGTCTCACATGATCAGTAAACCAAAGGCGAGGAGCTGCGAGCTGTGACGGAGTCTTTATGGGAGTCTCTGGGTGGGAGGAAATTTTATGATGCTGTACAGAGTCTGGCTGCGGAGGATGTCCTCGGGGAAATGTCTCTTTTGTTTCTGCTTTTATTCGTCAGGTTTTAAGGTTTTTACATCTGCATCCAGCAGGAGGCATTTTATCTGTGCTCCACCGCAGTTTTATTGATGAAAAATTGAACCATTTTTCTGAAACCATTGCACTTTTCTCTTTCCATATTTTTAAATTGAAATCAGGATCAGACTCAGCACCGGTGGTGCTACGGTGCCGAATACTGTAGAGGTTTTACTAAATTAGAATTTGTTCTGCCAAAGTTAAATGTATTCTTCCTTCATTCCTTCAATCCATCCATCAGATTACTGTATTTTCCACACTATAATTCGCTCTGGAATATAAGTCGCACCAGCCAAAGGAAGAGAAAAAGTGCGACTTGCAGGGGTAGCAGATACTGGTACACAAGCCTAGAGTGCCCTCTTGTGGCTGTCACTGTGAAAATAACATGTGAAATTATATATTTTAATATATAAGTCGCACCTGAGTAAAAGTTGCAAACCCAGCCAGAGTGACGCCCTGTGTACTTCAGCGTGGGGAACCTATCAGGTATCACAGGGATGAAAAGGTATGGTGTGTCCTCAGTATTTAAACAGTTTATTGTATCATTCATTCATCTTCTACCACTTAATCCTTTCTAAAGGTTGCGGGGGCTGGAGCCAGTCCCAGTAGCCATTGGGCAAGTGTGGTGTTACCGCCTGGACAGTTGGCTAGTCCATCACAGGCAGATAAACAAGGTTTCACGTTTGCACCTGGGGTGAATTTGAAGTGCACAATTGCATTTTAAGGAAAGAGAAGAAAAAAAGAAAAACCCACGCAACGCAAACACGGGAAGATGTTCCCAAACAGACAGACCACCACCGGGATTCAAACCAGTCATCTGTGGTTGCTGTAAAACTCAGTAATAACTGTGGTTAAAGTCAAATCACAAGTTCATGTCACCCCTGAAGTTATATTTTTGTTCTTCCAAAATGTAGATCTGTGAGAGGATTTCCTTAATTAAATGTCATCCGGATCAGAGAAATGTTAATAAATGTGACTGGCATTTAGACGTGTCCACTTCATATTGATCTGCTGTAAAAGAAAATGACTTCAGAGATTTGGCTTTCTTCCTCTTAAATGTTAAGGATGGAAGGAAGTGGTGGCTCAGATTTAGAGACTGGAAACTCCCCGGACGCCAGTATTTACTCTGCAGCAGAGCAGAGGCTTTTTCACCCACCGTATGAACGGCCTTCGGCCACTGTTGGTCAGGAAACCAGTGGCTGTGTGGGCTGACAGCGGTTATTGCATGAATTTTATGCCCCCTGAACAATACTGTGGTGCACCTCACAGCAGCGTCCTGTTCTGCATGGGCGGATGACTCCGCCAAAGAATACAGTGGGGATAATTGCGGGAAAAGGTCAAGTATAATCTTTCATGCAGCGTATGAGCGTGCTGGGGAGGCAGCGACGCCCCCCCCCCGCCACTGTCACCAAGACCCCTCGGGGTAACCTGAGTGAACGTAAACTGCATCCGACAGCTGACATTTGC